CTCAGACTGGTCCAAATAGATCTCAGACTGGTCCAAATAGACCTCAGACTGGTCCAAATAGACCTCAGACTGGTCCAAATAGATCTCAGACTGGTCCAAATAGACCTCAGACTGGTCCAAATAGACCTCAGACTGGTCCAAATAGACATCAGACTGGTCCAAATAGACCTCAGACTGGTCCTGGTAGACATCAGACTGGTCCTGGAAGACCTCAGACTGGTCCTGGAAGACCTCAGAGTGGTCCTAGTAGACCTCAGACTGGTCCTGGTGGACCTCAGACGGGTCCTATTAACCTTAGACTGGACCTAGTAGACCTCAGACGGGTCCTAGTAGACCTCAGACTGGACCTGGTGGACCTCAGACTGGACCTAGTGAACCTCAGACTGGACCTGGTGATCCTGATGGATCTCAGACTGGTCCTGGTGGAGCTCAGACAAGATAATCAAACTGGACTTTCTACAGGACGTGGACACAAGTTCKTGTGTTGGTTTCTCTCGACTATCCTGGGGGTTCCTGTGGTTCTGTGTCCTCCAGTCTGAAGACAAGACCCAGGTCATCCCGGTGCTTGACTCAGACCTATCTAGGTCAAATTTATTTATTTATTTATTATTTATTTATAGCACTTTTCAGCAGAAAGGTGATACAAAGTGCTTCTACCCACCAAACCTGATCTCCACATGTCCTTAACAATCTCTATTACCTCAACGTCCTGTTCTGAGGGTCTGATAATGAGCTTGGGCCTCAGAGTACCAGAAAATCTGAGTCTGATGGCCTGGATCTGAGACTAATGTCAARCAAACAAAACCTTTCAACAAAGGGATTAAATATCACCTCTAATCTGGACATGTGTATTATGGGTTAACTTAATTTGAAATGTATTTAATTTCTGAGGTTAATCTTGCYTTAAACCCCATCTTGAACACCTGAAACAGGTAAATGTTTTCCACACAGACCTGACTGAACTCGATYGTTAAAGGTTTCTCTGTAAACCACATCAGTCAGGAGTTTAAACAGAAAACAAGCTGAAACTCAAACTGCACTTGCCGAGCAGAACTTTAGCATCTTCCATGTCAAAGTGTCCATCTCCGTTGGTGTCGTAGGACGCCAGCTTACCTGCAGGAGGAAGACAGATTATTTATTCCATCAAGTTTCAAAAACATTTTCAAGACTTCATGGCTGTTATTTATGTTTTCTGTACAAAAAACTTCAGATGAAAACTGATGAAAAGTTCAGATTAAGACTAGCTGTGAGATCATTGCCCACACATGGTAAAGAGAAACTAAGTCTTTTTATTCATGAATATATGGTTTTTTTTTACTTTTGGATTTCACAATAAAAGCAGGAAAACATAATTAAATTCCACAGGAGGATTTTCAAGACCGAAGGAAAACAATGGGGAGGATGGATCATTTAAAATTTGCTGAACTTGACTGTGTTTAAGGAGTTTCACAAGGATGTGTCCTTGGTCCTTTTTAATTACAAAACCATTTCCACTGAAGTTGGGAGGAAAGCTGATGAACACATCAGAAAACATGTTCCAGCCTTTATGGAATGTGTTGCAGCATCAAATTCAAAACGACTGAATATTTGCAAAAAATAATAATAAAAACATTAAATTTCTTGACGTTGTGATGTATTCAACTGAACATGGGTTAAACTATTTATGAACAAGCTTATTCTGTTTTTATTTACATTATCCACAATGTAGCAACCTCATTGGAAATGGGATTGTAGTTCTAATCATATTCAGGTGTTTTATCAGTCATTTCTTTATTGAGTCAGTTTTATCAGTCTCYTCTCCATCAGAACTCGATACAGCAGCAGATAATAAATGTAACTTCTGTAGTTATTAACTCGTAGCGTGGCTCAGATGACGTGTCGAGGAGCACAAAGCAGGTCACAGTTTGGTGAAGCTGCTGCAGAAAGAGGAAGGATGTGGAGACAAGCGTCAGACTGAACCACCAGAGGCAAGAAAAACCACAAGACCTGAAACAGAGCTGAATYAAACTGCAGACTGAAGCTGAGAGCCTGACGCTGCATCAATAAAACATTTTTATTTACAGCTTCATGTCATTATGGATCTCTGCAGAAACCTGGGTTTAGTCCTGGTTCTGACAATATTCAGTACAGTAGATCTGGTTTCTGTTCAGAGAACCAGGATCTTCAGTACAAAGTTGATGCAACAAACAGAGGAAGAGGTTCTGTCTGCAGAACGTCTGTTCCTCTAATCAAAACAATTAGACAAAAACCTGGTTCTGTTTTTCTGAGGTTTATGAGCCAGCAGCAGATCAGACTCAGGTTTTATTTACTCTGAACTCAGTGAAACAAACCGATGATCTTCAGTCTTTATTCAACAGGAAGTTCTAGTTTCAGACTGGTTTCCTGTCACTTACTGGTGTTTCTGGTTTTATTTTTGACTGGACCTCTGAAACAGTTCCATCCAGCCTCCATGTTTGTGCTGTTTGCTGCTGAGCATTGTGGGTAAAAACACAAACTGACACACCTGTTCTCTGTTTCTGTTAACTTCAGGGTCAGAACCAGACCAGTTTTATTTAGTCCCTTGAACTGAAGGAGATGGACCTTCTCTGGACCAGAACATAGACCAGGACTGTTAGAACCGTTAGTTTAATAGAACCTGATGGAACCAGACTGACATGAAGGTGATTGGAGGATTTTGGATCCTACCTTGTAAAACTTGAGAAAAGTTCAAACGAAACTCCTGAGCTCTTGCTGCATGCAGGAGGAAGAGGAGGAGAGGAGGATAAGGAGCAGGGATGAAGAGAGACGACAGCTCAGACACAATACAGAACCAGAACCAGAAGCAGAACCTGTTTGTGGGACTGAGGGCTTCATCAGAGGGTTCTGATGTTCAGGAGAACTCACCGAGGACGCTGTCGTAGTCCACCACATCAAAGTAAACCACGGCCACAGAGCTCCAGACCCCCAGCAGAGCCAGAACCACGAACCAGGTGAACATTGAGTACTTAGGACCTCCTTCTCCTCCTCCTCCTCCTCCTCCTGCTGCTGCTCCTCCATCGAACCTTCTTCCATTCTTGTTGTCAACTGGCACCGTCTTTGTCTCTGCAGACATGAAGACTGAAGTGAATGTTTTATATAACAGATATCAAACATTTGTGAGCAGAATAAAACATTACATCTGACAAAAATTTAACTCTTTATTCATTTATTTAATAATAAAACATAATTGTAATAATTTCAGTTTTATTTTGTAATAATGATGTCAGATCTGAACTATGTGGAATTACATGTGGAGTTCCTCAGGGTCTATACTTAGAGCAAAGTTGTTTATCTTTTATGTGAATGACTTGGTCAATGTGTCAYGGCTCTTTAAATGTCTTTTATCTGACAGTTTCTGGTTTGGTTTCTACTTTTTACAAAACAAATTGTGACATTTCTGATGTTTCATCATGTTTGTCTCCAACCTCTGACCTCAAACCACGCTGCCTTCACTGACCTTCAAGAGTGGGAATTTTTATTTCTGCTGAAGAAAAAAAGATTTAAAAACATGAAAAACACTTCACTTCAGGAAGAAAACATTTTTTTTTTTTTACTTTTTCTCATCAACAGACAACAAACTAAAACCTTCTGCCTGTTATTAAAGTTTCACTGATCCAGCAGACGGGCCTGGTTCTGGGACTGAATAAAAACAGAACAGAACAGATCGAACTCTTTGGGTCTGTCTGACCCTGGTCCTGGACTCATCAGGTCTGTCTGACCCTGGTCCTGGACTCTTTGGGTCTGTGTGACCCTGGTCCTGGACTCATCAGGTCTGTCTGACCCTGGTCCTGGACTCTTTGGGTCTGTCTGACCCTGGTCCTGGACTCTTTGGGTCTGTCTGACCCTGGTCCTGGACTCATCAGGTCTGTCTGACCCTGGTCCTGGACTCATCAGGTCTGTCTGACCCTGGTCCTGGACTCATCAGGTCTGTCTGACCCTGGTCCTGGACTCTTTGGGTCTGTCTGACCCTGGTCCTGGACTCATCAGGTCTGTCTGACCCTGGTCCTGGACTCTTTGGGTCTGTGTGACCCTGGTCCTGGACTCTTTGGGTCTGTGTGACCATGGTCCTGGACTCTTTGGGTCTGTGTGACCCTGGTCCTGGACTCATCAGGTCTGTGTGACCCTGGTCCTGGACTCTTCAGGTCTGTGTGACCCTGGTCCTGGACTCATCAGGTCTGTGTGACCCTGGTCCTGGACTCATCAGGTCTGTGTGACCCTGGTCCTGGTCAGCTGCAGGGTTTAAAGAACTGCAGCTGTTCTCTCATTATTATTAGAACAAGTCTGTTCATTGGAAGCTTTTATTGTGAAAATCAACAACAGGAAGTGTTAGTTTGGTGTTAAACCTAAAGGTCAAAGCAGAACCAGGTCAAAGCAGAACCTTACCGGACTCTGTGACACTGGACTCCTCAGAATGAAGAACCTCCTCCTCGTTAGCGCCTCCTAAACGAGCCACATCAATCAGAACCGAGCTTTAGGAGAACAGAACCGGACCCGGATCACCTGTCAGTCCTACCTGTCTCRGTCTCCTCATCTTCCTCACACACCTCCTCCTCCTCAGCGTGAATCTCCTCTACAGGAGCTGCAGGAGAGGAGGAGCAGGAGGTGCCATAGTGGTGGTACCGCTGCATGAACCGGGTCGGGACTGGAACACTGGTCTGAACGATCAGAACCAGAGACACAAACTAAACTGTTTTTAAACAGGGAGACCTTCATCTGCTCCTCCTCCTCCTCCTCCTCCTCCTCCTGCTCCTCCTCCTGCTCCCAGCACTGATTGTGGTTCTGCAGAACAACCAGAACCTGACCCGGTCTATTCTTAGAACTGACAAAGCCTCTGATACCAGAGAAGAGAGTACAGACCACAGGTCCAGAACCAGCCTGAGGAGGAGGAACCATCAGGGCTCGACCCGGCCCACAGGTCAGGGCACAGAGCACCAGAACCAGAACCAGAACCAGAACCAGAACCAGAACCTTTATTAAAGCTAAATAAACTTCTGGTCTGAAGTTTTATCAGACGAGAAAATTCACCAGAGAAAGTTTGAACATCAGAAACAGTAAATCGTCCAGCAGAGGAACGGCTGAAAGAAGAATATCCCTGACAGAATCAGCTAAAACCACAGAAACAACTTATTATAACTAAACCATCAGCTGAAGAAACCGAACATCAGCTAAAAGATCCAAACATGAAGTAAAAAACTACAGAAATGTTCACTGAAAAGCTGATAGAAGATAAAAGTATCAAAAGACTTGATACTAGCTAAAAGAAGCTAATGAAACGCTGCAGAGTTTAGTGTAGTTTAGGGTAAAAATAGCTAAAAGCTAACAGTAGCATAAGAAGCCATGAACAGAGCCAGCAGATGAAGAGATCTGTGTAAATATTGTTGTAAATAAAGTGAAATATTTTTTAAAAATATAAAAGTCACAAAACAAACGTCACAGCAGCTGTCAGCTGAACGAGCCGAACAATCTGGGTTAAAAACAGCTAAAATAACAGAGCAGGAAAACAGGACAACATGAGTTAAAGCTGAATCATCATAAAGACATGAATGACAGCAGAGGTCAAAGGTCACTCTTTAAATCATCAGATTTGTGATTCAGACACATCCTGACTGCACTGATGATGATCTGAATGTGTCTAAACTTACAGAGTAAAGACTGGTTAAAATGTGACAGGAACCATCAGACACATCAGGAACTGTTCAGATCATAAAAAACATGATTATTATGTTTTACATGAATTAACAGGAACTCTTCAGCACAACAACCATGTTTTTATTCCTGTTTAAGATCAACAAACTCTCACAGAGATGATCACAGAACAAGAAACATCCTTTCCTTTTCTTCTATAATTAATAAAACTGGTTATATTATCATAGATAAACATAAATGCTTCATTTTAGGATTATAAATATGTCATTTATCCAAAAAACCCGGAAACTCGACCCTTATCTCATTTCCATCAGGTTAGCGTCTATTAGCAACTGGTAGCTACATTAGCTTACCCACTCACCAGACTCCATTCAAAAATCACTCATTTTAAGTCTCCTCTTGTTTCGCGCCAGCAGTGTTAACCGAATATTAATTACGATATTTAAATAATGAAATAGTAATAAAGTAAAACTCGGCGTTAATGAAATGCACAAACACTGTTACTTTTTTATATTAAATTCTTTCTGTTTGTGTGCTGACTCTGATGCTGAACAAACATGMTTTCTGCCTGATTTCAGACAGGGGGGCTCACAGGAAAACAAACCCTTTGAACCGAACTGAAGAACTTTACTTTTAGATAAAAGTTTTTGTGTTTATTTTGTCGTGCGTGGTGCGTGACTTCAGTTCATCAAGAGATCAGCTCAAAGTGAACAAGGCTTAATGGAGTTCTGTATGAAGGACCGAGCTCCGGTGGTACGGTAAGAGAAAAACACTGCTCACCTTTTTTTGACTGAGTTTTTGAATTCTTTTTCTGCGCCATTTTTCTGTGAAGCCTCTGAGGAGGGTTCTCCAGCTGAGCAGCGACCACCTGAACCTCAAACCGGGCTGGAGTTTCCACAAGAAGCCGAGTCCACTCAGAAACACGTCCTCACTGCTTGGATACAAGCAAAGCCAAAGTCCATAGTAACCGTGACTGACGTCAGCTCCGGCCAATCAGAATCCGGAAACTGAGGCAGAGGCGTGTTTTAGGGCGGGCCCTGGAGCTTTTCAACCAATCAGATTCCTTAAACGCTTCGCCTCGTCCATCATCTCTCTGGAAGGAGAAAAAACGTGGCAGAAGAAGAAGAGGAGTTTAAACATCTGGGTGGAAATATTGTTTGTGTAGTTCATTTAATAACATTTAAACCCATTTAAAACTTATAGGAGGTGAACTCAACAATAATCACATTTAACTCTATGAAAACAGTTTCTGCACTGACAAGTTTTAGTGTTAAAGTTTCCACATGTTTATTCAATACTTTAATATAACTTAATGAACTTTTACTAGATCAGATTAATTTAATTTGTGGAGATATTTAAAAAAATAAAAGCTCATCCTGTGGTGCAGTTCCAGGTTGAAGCAGAAGGTGGCGCCGCAGGAGAACAAAGGTTCACTCAGCGCTTCTTCACAGGATGAAAACATCACATTTATTAGATTTATATGATTTAATGTCACCAACAATTCATATCACAAGAAAAACAGTTGGAACAAACAAAAACGGAAGTAAATATTTAAAATAAAACATTATAACAGGATGCATTGATGCTCCAAATGATTAGTTTGCTCCAGTGAATCACGTGATATTTTGCTAACAGACACGTTGCCTCATCACGAGGACCGGGTCAGGACATTTCTGCAGAAATGTGGGAAATATAATATAAACATTATTCAGTTAATTCAGAGGACAGGAAGTGGAGTCAGACACAAGGTGGAGCCTGAAGACCACCTGACCGGTCAGCAGCCTCATCTTCATCCTCCTCTTCATCAGGGTCCTGAACAGACCGGGTCTGACTCTGAACAGGTGAGAGGGTTTTTACAGTTTGTTCACAGACTCTGGGGTTTATTTCAAAGGATCACATGAAGAAAAATCCATTAGATTAGAGATTATATATATATAGATTAGAGCAGATTAGTTCAGTCCAGATTTAAAGGTTTGAGGGGATGGAGCTAAACTGGGTTTTCTTCCAAATAAAACATTTTTTAAACAAAAAAAAATGTTGAAACTCAAAAATAACAGAAAAAAAAAAGATTTGAAACTCAAAAATGTTTAAGGAACTCATCCAGTGAGGTAAAGCAGACATGTCCTGACAGGAGAAATGTGACGTCAGCTTTATATCGATTAATATCAGAATCAGAAATTAAGTATTGAACAATATCGGCAAAAGGTCAACATCGAGCACCTCTAGTTTTATTTTAAACAAAACCTTTGGCCTTAATTTAACTCCATACCTGCAGAATGTCACCGCAACAATGCAGGTGAGGCGGAAATAAGAGCAGCACCTGTATGGGGGTAAATTTGTGTTTTTATTATTCAATCAAACAAAAAGCATCTTCCATCAAAAAAATTTTTCAATCAAAATTAATA